AAATATTTTTAATAGGATAAGGTAAGAATTTTGGCAATAATTCTTTTTAAACATAATCTATATTAGGTCTCTTATCAGGAATTGGATCAATCATTTATTTAATTAAAGTTTTTAATTCCTATTTAATTTATAATTAATTAATTTTAAGATGAATTTATTATTAATTTTTACAATAATTAAGGATTTATTAATATACTTCCTATAGAGTTTAACCTTAAAATAAAATAATGATGAATACCATCAAATAAAGGTTCTCCTTAAAATAATTCAAAGAATAAACATCCCAAAGACCAAATATCAACAGAAGCCTAATAATTGTCTGATCCTTTGATGATCTCAGGAGCTTAATAAAGAGGTGATCCTATCATTTTTGTAAGTCTTACATTTTCTTCTTTTTTTTTAATTAAACCAAAATCAATTAATTTAAATGTTGTACCTACTTAAATAAAATTTTCAGGTTTAATATCTCTATGAATCAATTATTATTTATGAAGAAACGCAATAGATTAAGAAATCTAATATTAAATGGTTAATTATTACTTCTTAACAAATTTTAATTTTTTATTCTATTTATAATTTATTCTTTAAAACAGAAAATAAATCTTTTCCTCCAAGTTCCATAATTAATACCTATTAACCTTATGATTCAAATCTTTCATAAACTTTAATTAAATTGCTTTTTATAAATTAATTTTATTCATGATTTTTTTAATAATCAATTAAAAAATCAATAAATTAAATCTCATGATCTTTCATTTTTTATTAAATTTTAAAAGCAATATCTTTATTATAAAATTTTTCATTTTTTGGTGTTGCTTAATAAACACCTCCTTCTCCTCCATCTCCTAAAAGTTTTGTTAATATAAAATAACGCTTAGGAAACTCTTATGTAGGAGCATCAATAAGTGAATTAACATTTTACTGATAATTAATGTTTTAAACCTAAGGTATCTATTATTATGTTTAATTTTTTTAATCTATTTAATCTTATTATATATTTGGTATCTGTATTATCTATTGGCATTCAATATCATTATTTTTTGGATAGGTTTAAATGTCTTTAACTAAAAAATCATGATTGTTTTCACTTATATTTTCTTATTCAATTGATCCTTAAATAATTAAAAAATAAACTTTAAATCAATTTTTCTCCTTGAAATATTTCTTAGATTAAATTTTCCAAAGATTTAATCTCAATTTAACTAACTTCATGGTTTTTCTTGAATCCAAAAATACATAATTTAAATCTATTTTTCACTTTTACAAAATGGGATGATTTAATTTCTCTCCCAAAATACTCATTTTCATGTAAGAATTTAATTGCATCAAATATCTAAAAATATAAAATTTAAAATACTTAAAGAAAAATTTTAAATCTTTCAGCACAAGATAAATTTTAGTTTTATTTTAAATAATTTTACAAATTAATCTCTCCTAATTCCATCATTATCTATGTCTTATTATTGGATTCAATTTTCTATTGGATTTATATTATTTAACTATCTTAGGGCTATTTCTAAAATAGCCAATCAATAAATTTTTTTTCATATTCGTTAATTTTTTCATATATTTTAATGGCAACATTCTCTTGATTTTATGAATAATATTGTGTCGCTTGATAAATTTTTGCATCTTTATCTTAATTAAGAACTGATCCAAGTTAAAAATGTATAGATTAAGTACCATTACTAGGAAACTGGACTATAGTTTTTTCCTCTATCATATTTCAATCTAATTAATATTATATTAATAGAATTATATATTTATAAATAAAATTGACTTTGTTTTTCATCAATAAAATATAATCAGTATTAATAAAAAATAGAACTTAAAAATGAAGGCTTATTAGTCAATAGTTGAATTTGTGTTATTTGTATTGTTATTAGAATTTTGAATTGGTTAATGACAAATCACACATTTTTAAAGTGTTTAATCCCAAGTGTATGTATTTTTACTGAATTAATAACAATTAGATTGATCAAATTGTGATACATTTATTGAAATACAAGTATTATTGCTCATGTTACAATAATTATATGTAGACTTATCAAATGATAGAAATGGTTCACATTTTTATTTATTATTGAACCATGTAGTACAATTATAATTTTCACAATATTGTGTAGTTGTATTTGTAGAATTTTATTAATTTGATACTTTAGTGACCCAATTACAAAAAGTATTTGAATTACAAACAGATTCTAATGAATTAGCCAAATTACATTATGTAAAATCGATACATTTAGTGGATGACCATATACATTATCCTGTTATGCTACCTTATTTACATATTGATTCAGATTAATATGATGAGCAATTTGATTTTGGAATACATATTTTATTAACTTCATCATAAATACAGGAATTGATATTTGATTGACAATCAAATTATGATTTAGGTTCAAATATATCTGTACATAATTTGATTCTACAAATGTTTTTGTCCCATATACATATTCCATCAGAGGCAACAGCAGTTATACAAATATTTTAATCTTAATATTAAGAACATTTTGCAATAGATATGCATCCAATAGAATTATATGTACATTAAATTAATTACTTAGAACATTCTTCATGATTATTTCCTTTCAAATCTTAACAAGATTAATCTCTACATAAACCAGATTCCCATACACAAATTCCAGTTGAATTAATTTAATTATCATCTGTATATTATATTCCTTTGCTATTTTATTTACATTATCCTATTAATTAATATTATGAACATTTTTCATTTAAAGCAATACAAGAATCAATTGTATTTGAAGTACAATTTTTATTTGCTAATTAACATTCTTCATGAGTTGTAAATTTAGCTTGATTACAATTTTTAAACAATTAACAAGACTTAATATTTTTACTATCTATAGTAAGGATACAAATACCATCAATTCCTGTATAACAACCAGTAATTTTATTTAATGAGCATTTTTGAATTGCAATACAATTTTCACCATTTGTTGTGCATAAAGGTGATATTAATTTACATTCTTAATCTGTTTTCCATTTTATAGATGTACAATCATTATATTAATAACATTACCCATTATTATTATTAATAATCCACAAACAAGGACCATCAGTACCAACAATACAAGTTTCTTAATTTAATTTGGTAGAACAAGAGTTTTATATTGCACATTTACCTTATAAACCTATAGTACAATTTGAATCTTAACCATAACATTAAGCATGAGTAGTACCAAATAGATCTATACATGATTTATCTCTACATATATTAGTATCCCAAACACATAGTATATTATTAATGGTTTTCATACAACTTTCTTTAACCGTATATGATTTACATAATTCTTGTAATTCTTAACAACCTCCTTCTGCTTTTGTTGTGCAATTAGGATAATAATTATTACAAGATTCATTAGTAATCAAATTTGAAGGAGCATTAGAACATTTTCTGGTTTAACATTAAAGTGATTTTTCAACCCATGTACATAAACTTTTTGATGCATCAATTACACAACTAATTTAAGTTGTGTAATAATAACATTATTCTTATATTGCAGTACATCTAAATCCATTACTTGTACACTTATAATTGTCATAACATTCCTGATGATTCTTTAATTCTACATCCTCACATTAAAATTAGAAACATTTCTAATTATTAACAAATCCACAATTTTTTAAGTAAGCATTACATTATGATTCAGATATTAAATCTTAAGGAGCATTTTAGCAAGTTTTATCTTAGCATTTAGAATCTTACCATGTGCAATTTTCTGTTTTACATTAAGATTCAATCATTAAAGAACATTATTCAGGAATTTTGATGCATCCATCATTTGTTGAATTAATTGTACATCCTTTTAAATATTTTTAACAATCATCATGAGTACTTAAATTTATTGGTGCTGTATCACATGATTTAACATTGCAGATATTGTTTTTCCATCCACAAAATTATCCAGTTATATCTATTATGCAATTCTTTTCTGATTTATAAGAAGAACATTATTTTAATTCCATACAACCATTTCCATTATCATTAATAGTACATATATTTTATTTATCATTAATTATTTAATCCATACAATTAATATGATTGTATTAATTCAATTCTATTACATTACATGATTTTAAATAACAAGTTTTATTTTTCCAATAACACTCTTTATTCTAAATGTCTATAATACATTCAATATCATATTAATATTATGAACATTCTTTTTTTGTCATACATTATTATACCTTAGATCCATCTATTGTGCAACTGTTTAAAATTGTATTACAATCATTATAACTATTAAATCCTATTCCATTTAAATTCTCACAATTCAAATCACTACATATACTACCATTCCAATAACAAATTTTATTAATTGATTTCTTACATTAACTTTATGTTGTATATAATGAACAATTTTCTAATAAATTTGTACAACCTGCCTATTTTTTAACTATACAATTATATGAATTGCAATCAGTAACAGTATCACAAGTTGCAACTTAACATTTATTTTCAAACCAAACACAATCTCCTTAAAGTGATTTAGTACATTCATTTTCAATTAAATATTTTATGCAATCATCAAGTTATGTCATACACTTACTTAAATCTTTTAAAACTGTGCATGAAGTTAAAAATGAAGAACAAACATTGTGATTATAATTAGTACTATTATAATTTTCACATGTTTTATCAACACATTTTGATGTATTATTTATCATACAAACTTAATTCTAACTGCATCTTTCGTCACTTGCTATTTGACTACATGTACTTGATACATTTAAACATGTACCATTAAATTAACAATATGAATCTTAACTTTTAAAACATGAAGTTTCTAAATACAAATCACAGGATTTTTCCATTGTAATACAACTTGTTTTTGCAACATTTTATGTGCAAGTAGCTAACCAAGTTGAACAATTTTGATGCGTAAATTTGTTATCTGGATAATTTTGGCAAGTTCTAGAAGTACAGTTTGTATTTCCTGATATAAAAGTACATGTAGCTAGAGGGTTTTAAGATCCATCATATCTATCACAAATAGATTTAGTAGTAACTTTAATTTCTGAGCAATTTGTAATAGTACTTAGATTAGTGCAGGTGGTTCCATTATAAAAACAAAATGAATTTTTTGACTAAAAGCAATCTGATTATGAATATAAACTACATTCATCAGTCATTGTTATACATTATGTTTATGAAGCATTTACTGTACATGTAGTGCTAACCTAATTACAAAATGAATGAGTATATGAAAATAATGTTATTTATGAACAATTATTATCTTTAAATAGTTAACAAGTTGATTCAACCCAAGCACAAAATCCTTCTTAAGCTTTTATACAATTATCTTAATCTAAAGATTAGCATAATTAGACTTTTGTTGTGCATCCAGTTCTGGCTGAGTTAACAGTACATGAATTATCTACAGCTTCACAATCAGCCAATGATGTTAATCCATAATAAAGAACACATCCAGTATCAGCACATCCATTAGATGTAGAATTAAGTTTACAGAATTGTTTAAATTATTTACATTTATTATCAGTATAAGTTTCTAATTTAACTGTGGAGCATCCATAAATTAAATTACGATTGGCACATTTATCATTAAACCAATGACACATACTTGTTTTACTTTAGATGCAATGTTCTTCTATTAAATATTGATTACAATCATTTTATATGTCTATACAATTATTTAAACTAGCATGAATTGAACAATTCTAATCATAATTTTGACATTTAGAAAAAGTTAATGAAAAATCTTCAACTTCAATTTCATTACAGAGTTTATTAACACAAATTTCTCCTTATTATTTACATTGAAATAAAACCGAATCACAATTTGAATAGTCTACAATACTTGAACAATTTAATTTATCTAATTATTAACATAAATTATCCAACCAAACACATTATTTATCTTCAAGCGTATATGTGCATTGATTTTAAGTGTATAATTCACATTTAGATAATCTATTTAAACATCCAATTTCATTCAAAAGAGGAATTACTGTACAAGTATTTGAAATTTCTTAACATTTTTCAAAAGTATCAAAATTAGTAGTATCATCAGGAATATCAGAACATTAATATTCTTTACATTCAGTACCATTCCAATAACATTTTTAAGTTTTACTTAAAAAACATTAGTAATTTTTTTTATAATCTGAACATTTTTGAAGTAAAGTAATACAAGCAGATCTATTATCATTAACTGTGCATGTATTATTTATAGCATTACACATTTGATGAGATTTATTAGGTATAACATTACATAAATTTTAAACACATTTTTCATTTGACCAAACACAGCCTAAATTACAATATGGTTTAGGAGTATTTTCACATGTTTTGGATTTTTCAATACATGCATCTTCATACCAATAACAAGAATTATCAAAGAGACATAATTCAGCAATCAATCTTAATTGACATTTTTCAGGTAATGTCATACAACCTTTAAGACTTGGTGAAACAACACATCCAGATAAATATTGATCACATAATTCCATACTCACATATTTAGTTTTATCAGCAGTTTCACATGATTTAGATAAACATTAATCATTATACCATTCACATTCAGTGTTATCTAATTTTTTAATACATGATTCCTATATTTTATATGCTTCACAACTATTAGTAATTTCCATACATCCTTTTTTATCCTTATTCACTGTGCAATTTGATAAATAATTATTACATAGTTCATGAGTATTTAAAGTCTTAGGAGCATTATAACAAGTTTTAAGATAACATACTGACTTCCATGTACATTTTTATTAGTAATAATCAACTGTACATAAGTCTTGATTCCAGACATTTTAACATTAATAATCTAAACAATTACCATTCTTATCATTAATACAATTTTATAATATAGAATTACATTCTTAATTAGTTAATTTTTAAATGGCATTACATTGTTGATCAATACATTTTTCATTAAACCATAAACATTATTAATTTTTTGAATCATATAAACAATCATCTTAATTAATGATTGAGGCACAAGTTGTTACAATTTTACAACCTCCATTTAATTTAGAAATACATCCATTTAAATATTATCTACAATTTTTTATATCAACACTTGCATTATCACATGTTTTTGTAGTACATTAACCATCTACCATTGTACAAGAAGTCAAAAATTATTCACAATAATTATGATCAATATTTTCAATAATTGGAGCATTCTTACAAATTTTTAATTAACATATTGTTTTATTCCAAATACATTATTTACCATTAATATCATATTAACATGTTTCTTAAGATAAAGCTGCATCACATTCTCTATTTTACACACATCCTCCTTAAGGTTTAGCTATACATCCTTTCAAAAATGTATCACATTAAGAATTAGTTGTAAATTATTTAGATCCCTAAGAACAAAATCTATCACTACAATATGTATCCATCCAAGTGCATTTGGCACCATTTACATCTATTATACATGCATTTTCATTTTGAGCTTTTGCACATGTTGTTCTAATTGTACAACCACCTCCTTTTTGAGTTGTACATCCTTATAAAAATGCTTCACATTCTGCATCTGTAGTCATTGTTATAGGAGCATTCATACATATATAATCATAACATTTTCCTGAAATCCATTTGCATTTTATTGTTTATGATTTATTCCAAAAACATTATGATTACTTTTACATATCCTTACAATTACCTCCATCCATACAACCTGTTTCTGCAAAATTTACAGTACATGTTGACTTTGCTTTTCTACATAATTCATCAGTATTATATGGTAATTTTGAACAAGTATCAGCTAATGAACATGCTTTACCATCCCAATAGCATAATTAATTTCTTTAATCTACTTTGCATATACTCTTTTGTAAATAAGATACACATTCTCCTATATCTATACATTCCTCTCCATTACTAATACAATTTAATGAAACACTTTTGCATAATTCATTTGTATTGTATTCAAATGATGTACATCCTGTAAATTATTAACATTAACTTTCATAATACATGCATCCTATTATTGTTGAACATTTTTATTAATCAAACTACCTACAGTATGTACCAATTGTTTAATTTTAATTTTATTTACAACTATTGTTATTCCATTAACATTTTGTATTTAATTTGCAATCTGATTGAGATTTAAGTTAACCACAATTACAATATTATGAGCTAATTACCTAAATTAATGTAAGTATAATGATCATATTTAATTATCAAAATATATTTAGAATAAATCTCTATTCATATTTTATTATATCAAATTCAAATAATATATTTTATACATTATTATAGATTATATTAAAAATATAAAATATTTATTAGTAGAACTTATAAAATTTAAGCAGAAAATATAAAGGTCAGCAATTAAATACAGGTTGTTATTATTAAAATCAATTATTTATTTAATCAATTAAATGTTAATATTAATCATTATTTAGAATTTTGACAAACTTAATTAATTATCAATACATAAGCTTAATAAATCTATTACAATGAACTTGTTATGTAATAATTTAAAAAAAAGAGAAAAATCCTTATCAAATTTGATGTTAAAAATCTCAAAGTTATATAAGAAATCAAAAAGATACTATAATAATTCCATTAATGAATTTCCAACTTTCGAATATTTTCTTTTTTGAATTGTTTTATTACACAGTTTTAACATGATCTAAAAACTCTAAATATAAAAATAATCTTTAACATAAAATAATAAGAATGATAATAGTTATGGATAGCAAGCAATATCTAACCGTTTTAATGTTCCTAGTTAAATTTTGTTAGAATAATCTTGCAAAAAAGTTTAAGTCTAGAGAGGTTTTATTGAATTCAAATCAATTTAAAAGAAAAAGTTAAATGAAAATATAAGAAGAATATCAATAATTGGTAATTCTTCAATAATATTTTATTATACTCTTAATAATTATAAATTAAAAAAATTGATTGATAAAAGTCATTTCTTTTATAAATTTTGAAAACAAAAATAATCAATAAAGACTCTTTTTTCTTTTTGATATTCTAAGCAAATGAGATAAGTAACTTAGAAAGTGAGTTTACATATAAATTATTTAGCTTTACTTTATGTAGAATGAACTCCTTTTTCTAATGAATTCAAAAGAAGGTCTTTAGATTAATAAAATAAAAATCATCATAAGAACATATATTAAGTTATTAATAATATCAAAAATGTTTAATAATAAAGATTTGAGTTTTAGTTCTCTATATTTAAATAATTTATTTTTTTTTAGTCAAGTATAAATCTTTATTTTTCATTTATAAATCTATAAAAGCTCTTAGATAATTTATACTATATTTATAATTCTATTAATTATTAAAAGTGGAACATAAAATGAGAATGAATTAAATAATTTAATCACCATTTAATGAATTCAAAGATAGATGCTTTGTTATCTTACAATGTTTAGGTTAAGGGATTGAGGGAGAAGTATATGAAGCAAGAGTAGAAAATTAATCATATTATGAAAAAAATGTTGCCATAAAATTTTATACAAATATTAATCAAAGAGAGGAATAATTTATTGATTCGATACTTGAATAGAAGTAAAACAATTTGCATGAATATAATTAATTTCTTGTGCAAATATATGAAAAAATATAACTAAATAATGAGATATTGGTGGTTATGGAATTAGGATAATGTTCCTTAAAAGAATATCTGAGTAGAAATGAACTAAGTTTTGATGAGAAAAATTAAATATGCCATTAAGTATTTCTAATTTTAATATATAGATTTCAAAATCAATACAATTTCTACATAATCAGAACTATTTTCATAGGGATATCAAACCAGAGAATTTTGTTAAGATTAACAAATAATTTAAATTAACTGACTTTGGATTGATTAAAAAATCTTTCGAATCAGAAAGAATTCCAACAATATGTGGCACTTAATAATATCAAGCACCTGAAATTTAAGATGAGATTTACTCTCAGGAAATTGATATTTGGTCTCTAGCTTGTGTATTTTATGAAATCATCTAAGGGGAAGAACTAATCTAAGGTACATTTTTATTTTATTTTAGGATATAAGGAAAAGTAGGTTAAATATAACAAAAAAGATTTGTTGAATAATATAGAAGATAATAAATAGATATAAAAAATGAAATAAAGTTAAATCCCTTAATGGTCAGATCTAATAATAAAAATGCTTAATCAAAATCCAAAATATAGACCAAATATTCTTTAAGTTATAAATGAGATTGAAAAGATATAATAAATAAATATAGAAGATAATATCATCAGAAATCCTTAAAAAGAATAGATTTAATTATAAGAATATCTTAATTAAAATAATAATTTAAGTTAATAGGAAAAAGAATCAATAATATTAGATGTATTATTATATTTAATATTATTCATAGATTTCTAAATCCATATTGCATCTTCATAAAAATGGTTATTATCATACAAATATTGATTTGAATATGTTTTAAAAATATAATAATCATTGGGTATTGGCAGAATTTGATTCAAATAAAAGAGATTAATCTTTTAATAATTCTGAACTGGATCCTATATCTATTGATATTTTTCGTTTAGGATGCCTATTTTATTATATCCTTTAAGGAAAAATAGTATCTGATATAAGAAAAGTCAAGGTTAATTAGAATTTACAAATCAAATCAGATATAGATTCTTATACTACTGATAAAGATACATTTCTAACTAAAATTTAATAGATTAAATCAGAAAAATGGTAAAAATTAATTCTACATATGCTTGAATCTATTGAGGATACAAGTTTAAGTTTATAAGAAATTATATAAGTTTGTATTTCTTAAAATGTTAATTCACTTATTGATGCTCCTACATAAGAGTTTCCTAAGCGTTATTTTATATTAACAAAACGTTTCGGATATGGAGGAGAAGGAAGTGTCTATTAAGCAACACCAAAAAATGAAAAATTTTATAATAAAGATATTGCTTTTAAAATTTAATAAAAAATGAAAGATCATGAGATTTAATTTATTGATTTTTTAATTGATTATTAAAAAAATCATGAATAAAATTAATTTATAAAAAGCAATTTAATTAAAGTTTATGAAAGATTTGAATCATAAGGTTAATAGGTATTAATTATGGAACTTGGAGGAAAAGATTTATTTTCTGTTTTAAAGAATAAATTATAAATAGAATAAAAAATTAAAATTTGTTAAGAAGTAATAATTAACCATTTAATATTAGATTTCTTAATCTATTGCGTTTCTTCATAAATAATAATTGATTCATAGAGATATTAAACCTGAAAATTTTATTTAAGTAGGTACAACATTTAAATTAATTGATTTTGGTTTAATTAAAAAAAAAGAAGAAAATGTAAGACTTACAAAAATGATAGGATCACCTCTTTATTAAGCTCCTGAGATCATCAAAGGATCAGACAATTATTAGGCTTCTGTTGATATTTGGTCTTTGGGATGTTTATTCTTTGAATTATTTTAAGGAGAACCTTTATTTGATGGTATTCATCATTATTTTATTTTAAGGTTAAACTCTATAGGAAGTATATTAATAAATCCTTAATTATTGTAAAAATTAATAATAAATTCATCTTAAAATTAATTAATTATAAATTAAATAGGAATTAAAAACTTTAATTAAATAAATGATTGATCCAATTCCTGATAAGAGACCTAATATAGATTATGTTTAAAAAGAATTATTGCCAAAATTCTTACCTTATCCTATTAAAAATATTT